CGGTCTCCCACAGTATTCTTGTCAGCAAGTTAAGGAAGTATGGGCTGGATGAATGCACTACAAGGTGGGTAGAAAGCTGGCTAGATTGTCGGGCTCAACGGGTAGTTATCAATGGCTCCATGTCTAGTTGGCAGCCGGTATCAAGTGGAGTGCCCCAAGGGTCGGTCCTGGGGCCGGTTTTGTTCAATATCTTCATAAATGATCTGGAGGATGGTGTGGATTGCACTCTCAGCAAATTTGCGGATGATACTAAACTGGGAGGAGTGGTAGATACGCTGGAGGGGAGGGATAGGATACAGAAGGACCTAGACAAATTGGAGGATTGGGCCAAAAGAAATCTGATGAGGTTCAACAAGGATAAGTGCAGGGTCCTGCACTTAGGACGGAAGAACCCAATGCACAGCTACAGACTAGGGACCGAATGGCTAGGCAGCAGTTCTGCGGAAAAGGACCTAGGGGTGACAGTGGACGAGAAGCTGGATATGAGTCAGCAGTGTGCCCTTGTTGCCAAGAAGGCCAATGGCATTTTGGGATGTATAAGTAGGGGCATAGCGAGCAGATCGAGGGACGTGATCGTTCCCCTCTATTCGACATTGGTGAGGCCTCATCTGGAGTACTGTGTCCAGTTTTGGGCCCCACACTTCAAGAAGGATGTGGATAAATTGGAGAGAGTCCAGCGAAGGGCAACAAAAATGATTAGGGGTCTGGAACACATGACTTATGAGGAGAGGCTGAGGGAGCTGGGATTGTTTAGCCTGCAGAAGAGAAGAATGAGGGGGATTTGATAGCTGCTTTCAACTACCTGAAAGGGGGTTCCAAAGAGGATGGCTCTAGACTGTTCTCAATGGTATCAGATGACAGAACGAGGAGTAATGGTCTCAAGCTGCAGTGGGGGAGGTTTAGATTGGATATTAGGAAAAACTTTTTCACTAAGAGGGTGGTGAAACACTGGAATGCGTTACCTAGGGAGGTGGTAGAATCTCCTTCCTTAGAGGTTTTTAAGGTCAGGCTTGACAAAGCCCTGGCTGGGATGATTTAACTGGGATTTGGTCCTGCTTTGAGCAGGGGGTTGGACTAGATGACCTTCTGGGGTCCCTTCCAACCCTTATATTCTATGATTCTATGATTCTATGAAATTGGAGGATTGGGCCAAAAGAAATCTGATGAGGTTCAACAAGGATAAGTGCAGGGTCCTGCACTTAGGATGGAAGAATCCCATGCACCGCTACAGACTAGGGACCGAATGGCTAGGCAGCAGTTCTGCGGAAAAGGACCTAGGGGTGACAGTGGACGAGAAGCTGGATATGAGTCAACAGAGTGCCCTTGTTGCCAAGAAGGCCAATGGCATTTTGGGATGTATAAGTAGGGGCATAGCCAGCAGATCGAGGGACGTGATCGTTCCCCTCTATTCGACATTGGTGAGGCCTCATCTGGAGTACTGTGTCCAGTTTTGGGCCCCACACTACAAGAAGGATGTGGAAAAATTGGAGAGAGTCCAGCAAAGGGCAACAAAAATGATTAGGGGTCTGGAACACATGACTTATTAGGAGAGGCTGAGGGAACTGGGCTTATTTAGTCTGCAAAAGAGAAGAGTGAGGGGGGATTTGATAGCTGCTTTCAACTACCTGAGAGGTGGTTCCAAAGTGGATGGTTCTAGACTATTCTCAGTGGTAGAAGATGACAGGACAAGGAGTAATGGTCTCAAGTTGTAGTGGGGAAGGTTTAGGTTGGATATTAGGAAAAACTTTTTCACTACGAGGGTGGTGAAACACTGGAATGTGTTACCTAGGGAGGTGGTGGAATCTCCTTCCTTAGAAGTTTTTAAGGTCAGGCTTGACAAAGCCCTGGCTGGGATGATTTAATTGGGGATTGGTCCTGCTTTGAGCAGGGGGTTGGACTAGATGACCTCCTGAGGTCCCTTCCAACCCTGATATTCTATGAACCATCTGTGGGCAGGATATATTGTAATATGGAAGTATACATCTTGGAGGTCGAAGGTTGCAAACCAGTCCCCCCCATCTTGCGCTGCAATTATTGTGGCCAGAGTGACCATTTTGAACCTGTGGTTGTGTATACACCTGCTGAGTTTTCAGAGATCTAAGATTGGTCTCCATCCCCCTCCTTTTTCTCTGTCAGGAAATATTTGGAATAAAAACTCCTCCCTCGGTATTGATATGGTACAAGTTCTACAGCACCCAGGAGTAGGAGGTGATCACTTCCTGTTGCAGAAGGTGCTTGTGAGAGGGGTCCCTGAAGAGGAACAGGGAAGGGTAGGGGGGATGGCTGTGAAAGGAATGGTGTGGCCAGATTCTATGATCTCCAAAACCCATTGATCTGTGGTTATCGCAGCCCAGGCATGGTAAAATGGGCATAGGCGGTGACCAAAATAGTGGGATGGGGTATCTGTTGGTGCTAGAGGTGTGGGGAGGTCATGCATACCCTTGACCAAGACTTCAAAATTGTGGCTTAGATGTAGATGGATGAGGCCTGGTTCTGTGGAGTTCGTTGTCTGAGCCCATTGTTTGGGTCTGTTCTGAGTGAAGTATTGTGGTTGTTGATGGTTAAACGAGGTGCCTCATGACCTCTGCTATGGTGTAAAGCCAGGGCGTTTGTCACATGGTGGGTTTATGCCTAGTGTACGCAGCGTCGCTCAGGAGGCCTTCATGGTATGGGAGAGGTCGTCTGTTTGAGACTAGAATAGTTTATCCCTATTGAAGGGGAGGTCTTCCACTTTTAGCTGTAGTTCTTTTGGAATTCCCGAACTGGCAACCATGATGTTCTCATAACCACAGCTGTTGCAGTTGTTCGGGCAGCTGTCCCCGCTACATCCATTGAGGCTTGCAACACTGTGCGGGCTATTAACTGACCCTTGCTGATAACGGCATTGAGTTGAGGACGTTTATGCTCAGGGAGGTCCTCCACGAGCTCTTGTATTTTACTATAGTTAGAGTAGTCGTAATTTGCTAGTAGACCAGAATAGTTGGCAAGTCTAAGCAGAAGGGTGGCTGACAAGTAAACTTTCCACCCAAAGAGGTCCAGTCTCTTGTGTTCTTTATCTTGCAGTGAGGAGCAGAAATGAGGCTGTTTACTGCGCTGATAGCAGCCTCCACCACCAGAGAACAGGCTTGCGGGTGTGAAAACAAAAATTCCATGCCTTTAGCTGGAACGAAGTATTTTCTGTCAGCCCTTTTGTTGGTGGGTGGTGCCGATGCCGGTGTTTGCCATATTACCTCCGCAGGCTCTATTATAGCCTTATCCATGGGGAGGGCAATCTTGGTCAATGATGCTGGTTGTAAGATTTTTAACAACTTATTTTGTTTATTTTGTTTCTCCTGCACCTCATGTAAGGCAATTTCTTGGCTGTTTGCTACTCTTTTGAAGAGTTCTTGGAACCGTTTCAGATCTGGTGTCATGGGGTAGACAGTGTCACTGCTTTGTCTGGTGCAGAAGATGACCGTGGGGCAGGTGGTGAATCATCCAGGTCTGCCTGAGATCGTATCTCCTCTTCTTCTATCTCTGTCTCAGGGGGGTTAGAGGTTTCTCTATGTGGTAATGATGGGTGTACTCTGGAACCTCTTGTTGCTGGGGAAGGAGGACCAGAATAGGGGTTCTGGTATGTGGGCCAATGACCCCATTGTGGCCATTGCATGGGATAAGGTGGTAATGGGTAAGGCCAGTGCTGTGCATACCAGGGCTGTGAATACTCGGAGGGATGAGGCTTAGGCTTCACAGCATTCCATGTAGGTCTCATCTGTGATGGGGATGAACATTAAGAGAAGCAGTTGTCCTGCACATCTCCTTCCTCACCACTATGCATGGAGAATGGTTCAGGAGATGAAGGATGGTACCGTGCTATGTAGCTCGGGGAGTGTTCGATGCTGAGCAGTGGTGACTGTGGTGCCAAAGAAACTGCTATGTCAGCAGGACGCAGGAGTTGCGCTGGTCCCACCTTGGGATTGCGGTCGAGCATTGGAGAGCTGACTGGTGCTAGATTCGGCTTGTTAGGCGGCAGCAAGTCTTGGGTTGGTGCCGGTGGCAGCAGCATTGACTGCGGTGCCACTGCCGGTGCCATGGAGGAAACTTGATGTCTCAGCTCCGGTGCCACATGTTGGGGCTCAGCACGGGTCCGCTGAGGGACGGTGCCGGTGCCTTGTAAGTGCTCACTCCGGATGAGTGGAGCACTGAGGGTAAAGACCTCGCTGGGGAAGCTCTTTTTTTCTGAGACCCTCTTGCTGGAGAGGTCGAGGCTCGCTTCCTGACAGTTTTGGAAGTCGGAGCCTTATCACAGCTCAGGGATCTCGGTTTATGAGACTCACTGGAGGACATTTCTTGTGGAAGTTGAAGGGGATTTCTCCAGCAGCAGCATTTTCAAACGGAGATCCCTGTCACATCTTGCTCTTGTTGTTAAGTTGCTGCAATGTATGCATTTCTGGGAGATATGAGTTGAATGCAGGATGTGTGGCCGTCAGTAGTCACACTTTTTAAATCCCGTTGAGCCCAGCATGATTGCAGTTAAGCCTCTCCCGTCTCTCAAGAGATAAGGGTGGGAGTTAATTATAATGATAAACTGTAGAAACTGTTCCCAAACGCGGAGTTAAGGAGAGAAAGTCTTTTTTTTTTTTTTTGCGTGTGGGGGGGGAGGGGAACCTAAGAGGAACTGAGAAAACTATGTATAGACTAAGACTAACAATGTAAAAAGAAAAGGAGGACTTGTGGCACCTTAGAGACTAACAAATTTATCTGAGCATAAGCTTTCGTGAGCTACAGCTCACTTCATCGGATGCATCCGATGAAGTGAGCTGTAGCTCACGAAAGCTTATGCTCAGATAAATTTGTTAGTCTCTAAGGTGCCACAAGTCCTCCTTTTCTTTTTGCAGATACAGACTAACAAGGCTGCTACTCTGAAACCTAAACAATGTAACTAAGTGTAGACCAAAAAGAAGTTCCTATGTAACTTGTAACTTTTTTTTTTCCCCCTTCTTCCCCTGAAAATATCAAAGAGCACTGCCACGGAGCTCCGTCTGCAGCCGAGAACGGTTGAGAAGGAACCAAGGGGACAGTGGGGGGGAGCGCAAGCTGCAGGAGGTGCCAACGGCTGCACGAGACTACTCCTGTGTGCTCCCTTCCCCCAACCAAGTACTGCTGCGAGAAATCTCCGATCTCTGGCGCAGGGATGCAACGACGTGTAGAGTGGAGGATCCACAGGGAAACCACTCAAAGAAGAATATTTACTTCTGCTCTTCTACTGCTGCCAGTTCACCTCTGCATGCATCCACACACATGCTTGATTTGCACACCATTATCAGGAAAGTGGGGGAATAAAAAGTCGCCAGATTAAGCCTGTTTAGCAACAATATTAAAATACCAGCCTCAACAGGGTTCCTCAAACGTCGCATCACAGAGAAACCATACATTGCATCAATTGTTGACAATAGTTTTTTCATAATTCCGTTGCCTTATGTAGAAAGGCAGGTTCTGCCATGAAACCTGCAGCTGAAATAGGATAATGGATTGCCACTCAGTACAGATACTTTTTAAAGTCTCCAGCATGTAACAAGTTACTTGACTCAAGAGGGAGGACATCAAATTTGGAGCATGGCCAAAAGTTATAAAACCAGAATACAAGCCTTTTCAGCAGTGATGTATTTTTTTTTTTTAAACACACACACAGGAACTAATTAATGGACTCAGACCAAGACCATCAAGTTTCATCCTGATATAAATCTCCTTTTAGGGAAATTATAAAAGTGAGACTATTTACACAATTGCCACATGTGTAAATTAGCATTCCCATAATGCTAACATGCAGAGGAATCAAATTTTAGCAATTGTTTATCAATAACGTTGAACTAGCAGCAGAGTTTCAGATCAAACATTAAAGATTTATTTGGAAAACCCTCCCTTTTGGCATCAGCAATGATCCAGTCAGTGCAAAGCGAACTGTAAAGTATTTCAAATAATTTCGCAGAAGTTAAAACAGAAAAAGATGCTAAACATTTGGCATTTATTCACAACATGCAGTTTTAAATCACCCAATGAGAACCATTTGGTATGAGTGTGCTTGCCCATATTTACTAAAAGTACATACATTTGAAAGAGAAATATTACTAAAGCCAATTTGCTGTAAGCGCGTTCTCCCTAAACTAAATTATATATAATAGGTATCACCTACATTCAGAGGTAATTTTAACATAGGCATGTAATATCTTGAACATCAAACTTGTTTCACATGCTAGACAGTGCTCCCAGAATAAGGATCTGTCTGCAAAATAACAGAAAAACAGGATGGGGAAGGTATTGTTAAAACGTGGTTTCTTTTTTTCTGTTTGGATTTAAAATGTATATGCATACACATATTCCCTAAAAGAGAATAGTCTCATTTATAGATGCATATACATATTCCCTAAAAACAGTCTTGTCTGTGTGGACAGAAAAATGTATTATAGCCATGTTTAACCCAAGTAGGCTAAAAACTCACTAACACGGTTAGATGACTAGTGTACACAGGGAAAAAAAGCCATGTTATAACAGTTCAGGTACCACCATGCAGAGTTCTGAAATATAAGCTAAGTGAAAAACTTCATCACTGAAATTTCAAGCCCTACTAAATAAGCTGATCTCCTTGCCATTGAAATATTTTAGTTTAACTGAGATTGTGGTTTACAGTAATTTAAATATACTAATCTCGCTGATGGCAGAATGCTCAAATTGTCTGTCGGGATCTTGCACTAGGAGTGATTTAACATACTCAATATTGAGCATATAGCATTCTTTGGCCAGGGACTATGGATAGAAGAGAAGAGACGCTATTTTGCATCGTTGATGCCCTATCTTTTGGATAAGTTTAAGCCCAGGTCATTTCTGCCTGACTGTTTTAATGACTGCAGAGAAGGAGGATAAAGATTGTCTGAAAAAGGGATAACTCAGTCATCCTTATGTAAGCACTAGGAGATAAATCATCATGCAAATCATGCAGGATCAGAGGAGAAAGGGGAAGAAAAGCAAGACATTCAGGAACACTTCTCAAAATATTGGGGAAAATGAGTTCTGTTTCTTTAAGTTTGAAGAAATCATACACCTCACATTGCAAAGAAATTCTTACTTCATAGAAAACTTCCTTCCAAGACTGTCACCTCCTTTATATAACCAGGATTCAGAAGCAGAAAGATCGCTATTAGCATGTTTGCATCCAGAGGCAAAGTTAGATGCTCTAATATTAACTGTAATACTCAAAAGACAACTAATTGTACCAGTTTAATTAGAAGCCAATAAGTGATCTTTTAGTGGAAGACATCACTTTCTAATTTAAAACTCTATACTGAAATGCCAGAAAGATGCGTATTAACCCAGTGGTCTCAACACAGGTACACTGTGGGATTATGGGTCAATAGTAATCCTAGGACTCTGCTGAAGCTGATAAAGGCTGGACTCCTCCTGCAAACCAATTTAAAGACAGCATGGCCCCAGACACAGACACTATGCTGAGAGTAAGACAACTTGGGTGAACTTGGCACAAGTCACTTCCCCTCTTTGACTCTCAGTTTTCCTGATGGTAAAATGGGGGTGATGCCTACCTTTTTGGATGCACTTTGAGACATACAAAGAGTGCTAAGTGTCATCATCACACAAGGAGTCACAGGGAGTGATGATCATTAGATAGTGAGTCACTAGATTGATTACTAGAAATTCAAGAGACCCAACATTAGTGGATAACTGACCACAAACTGGAGCTGTGTGTTAGATTTAACAGTCAGAACTGTTTCTGTACAAACAGCTTTCCCATAATAAAGAGATTCATGTTTATTCAAATATTTTTTTGGTGCTGACTCACTCGTCACCTTGGTCAAAAAGCTTTACACTTCTGTGACTCAGTTTGCTCACCTGTAAAATGACATACATAACTCAAGATGCTTTACTGCTGAAGAAAGTCTCATTTGAGAGTCTCTGAAAAATACTTTGTGCCAAGTATTAAAACACAAAACTGATACAACCCAGTTGTAAATTCTAAGTTCAAATTAACCATTACCACATTAACCAAATTCTATTAAGTAAAGTTACACTGCAAACGAGTTATTTGCACAGGTTTATAAGAAAGCAAGCTTAAGTTTTCAAGCATAATTAGTAATATTGTGTGTGCAACTTGAAACTGCAAAGGGTTTTGATGTTCAATGATCAGATATGCAGCACTTGTGATCAGGCGGCCCCCTTTCTGGTATCTCAAGCTGGGAGCCCCACATTCAAAATCAGGAGTTCGCTTTGAAAGTGCAGGCCAGTGTTATTGAGAACACCTTATCTGTAGTCGTTCTCAGAAAGTTTTCACTGACCTTCACATGTGAAATAAGGACACCCTTTTATAGATAAGGCCAGAAGAGACCACTTATCATCTAGTCTAGCCTCCTGTGTAATACAGGCCACAGACCTTCCCTGAATCAATTCCCCTTGATGATCCAGCCCTCACTTTTGCCCCTTCTTTATTAACCCTTTGGAAAGACACCAGCTGAAAAACAGCTTAAATAAAAAGGGATTTTAGTATTTTCCTGCAATTCAATATCCTCAGGTCAACAGGAAACCCAGAACTTTTAAGGTGGGGAACACTGGTTTAAGGGTGCCATATCAACATTTATGGATTAGTTTCACAATCTGTGTCTGTCCTTTACCACTTCAGAAACCAGAAAATAGCAAGAGCTGGAAATGGATAAGCCAGAGAGAAGAGCAACATTACTTCCAAAAACAGGGATCTATTGTAAAATATGGAAAAAGTACTCTTACTCATGAGAGAAATTCATGTAGGCATTCCTATTTCTAGCAGATAGTTCACAGAAAGTGAATAAAAATACGAAATCCCTCTGGATTCCGTATTGCTTGAGGCCAGAACGTGTGTGTGTAAAAAGCACAGTGCCTATAAGAGGCATTCTTTGTAACTATAAAGTGTAAGATCTCATTGCATAGAAATAGATCTCGTAATAAAGTGGAAGTTCAACTCCAAATAAGTGGTAAGCAACTATTGCAAACATCTGAGAAGCCACACAATCTTTACAACATTTCATTCTAAGTTGTCTTTGAAGTAAATAGTGAATTTTTTTAAATGTGGCTTACTTTGGACACAACGGGTTCTCAGACACATCCAACTGCGGGATTGAGGCCTGAATTTACAACAGGATGTACCAACCCTATTTTTCATTACACTCCAGTTGTCTACAGTATTATTTTCTTCCTTGTTGACTAGTTTCCACCTTACTTTGGAGTTAAAATAAAACAGTTGGAATAAGACTGACACATTCAGTTTGAATGGTAGCCACTGCATTTGGTTACACATTTATTCTACAAGTGTGGAGAAAGGATGACAGGTACAAATTCTCAGATTAAATTGTGTGTGTGAGATCCATTCACATGTACAAATCCAATGCCTCATTTGCTTATGGAGTTAAAATAAAGTTAAAGCAAAACTACATTCTGACCACACAGGTTTTTTTAAAGCCACACTTTTAGATCTTATAACTTGCATAACAGCATTCAAAGAAATCTTTATTTGAAAGGAACAGAAACCTCTCCCCATTTCAAGCCAGACCTGCCTCTTCACCGAGAAAAAGTAGCCTTCACGGAATGATTAAGTTTTGCTCAATTAAATATCTTTTTTTTAAAGCAGGTTCTATTTGATACACAACTAAATCAGAAATTTAGACACTGGAATTGAACAAATCCAGTTACTACAAGAAAGGTTATCCCTGGTACATTTACAGAATTGTTGGCTATGTACATGCTCTGGTGTCTGAACACTAATGAAGAGAAGAGGCTTTGATTCTTCATTCTATACTATTCAGCTTCCAGAATATAAATGAACTACGGGATTCATAATAATTTCCTCAGTTATAGCTATGTTTCACACCAAAATTTACAAAAACTGATTTCACTTGTCATACTGACTCTCACTGTTGTGTAATGTGAAACATTTAGCCATAAGCATTCATTAACTGCTCAACGAGGAACAAAACAAGCATACTCAGGACTTGAAGTCTGCCAGGCCCCTATCATCTAGAGATTTATATCCCAGCCTCCTTCCTTTTCCTGACAGCTGGTGGTGGGCAAGTACCAGGGGGTTTCTCCTGAACCCTTTTGGTGGATTTTCTCCTCCCCACCTGAAAATCTTTCATATCTATTTTGAGGCTGAAGTAAAGGACTAAAACCCACCAGCAAGGCACAGGAGAAGCCACCCTCAAATCCCACAGTACAAATCCTGCTCCTATGCAACCAGCTGTTTAGAAGGGAAATGAGCTGGGATTTACCAAGGTGCTGTTTCTGGACACTTTTTAGGGGCTCTTTCCCACAGTCTAGTAGGTAGTTGAAAAACGTAAAGTTCAACCCCCTCTAGCTGCTTAAAGAGAATGAATTCCTGCCTTCCCTACACACACACCTGCAGCAGTCAGGTCTATTTGGAAGAAGGGAAGATGAAGCAGGATCTGCTAGTCTACTCCTCCAACAGTTTGTTTGGGGGTCGTTGTCCTATGTAACTCCAATATCTTCCTCTGCTGCTCATTTCTTTACCAAGCAGCATCTTAATTAACTTGATATTCTCAGTTTTATTGCTGCCCACATGGTACTGAATACAACAAGCACTGAACCTGGCAAGTCTTGTTACCACCACTCTGCTGTTGCTTGGAGCAGGAACAGACCATAGATTCCACAGAAGCAGTATAGCTGATGTAGATGCCCAATACCTCAGTAGGCAAGGTTTTGTTTTCACCTAGGAGAAAGGTTTTTCAAGCCCTGGGTATACTAAACCAAATCCAGGCCACCCACACACACTCCTGTTAAACTTCAGAAATAAAACATATCTGGACACAGACAAAAAATGGTTACTAACCTTTCTGTAACCATTGTTCTTCAAAATGTGTTGCACATGTCCACTCCATGTAGGTGTGAGTGCCCCAAGCACAGCTGCCAGAAATTCTCGTAGTTGCATCCGTTGTGTCGGCTCTAGCGCCCACTGGTGTCACGTGCTCATAGCACCAGTATAAGGGGCCTTGCAGACCCTACCCTCCTTCCGTTTCTTCTGATCGACCGCCTCCAAAGAGAGGACGGAAGGTGGGTTTTGGAACAGACATGTGCAACACATTGCAAAGAAAAGTTAGAGAGAGGTTAGTAACCATTTCTTTGAGTGCTTGCACATGTCCCTTCCAATGTAGGTGACTCACAAGCAGCTGCCCCAGAGGTGGGTTCAGAGATCAAGGGCAAGCTGACTGTAATACAGCCCAACTGAAACAGTCTCTGGCCTGTTGTGTAATGGCGTATAGCATGGTGAACATATGAACTGACAACCAGGTTCTCACCCTGCAGAAGTCCTGAATTGGAACCTGTGCTAAAATAGCTGTGGAAGAAGCTTGAGACATGGTAGAGCTGTTAGGTTAGCCGGGGTGATATGTTCGCAAGGATGTAACATGCCTTGATACATGAAGTGATCCACAATGAGATTCTCTGGTGAAATTGGGAGACCTTTCATTCTTTCTGCTATCACTAGGAACAACTGAATGGATCTGTGGAATGGCTTGGTCCTGTGTATGTAGAAGGCCAGGGCACACTGGACATCTAATGATGGACATCTAATGACATCTAATCTAACATCTTCCCTGTTCACATGCAGTTTAGAGTAGAACACTGGCAGAAAAAGTGCTTGACTGCAATGGAACTAATACAGATTTCAGGAGGAACAACAGGTGTGGTCACAGCTGGACCTTGTCCTTGAAAAAGACCATGTATGGGGATTCCGAAGTGACAGCTCAGATCTCAAAGCCATCTGGGCAAGGTGACTGTCGCCAGGAAGGCTACTTTTCAAGAGAGGCTTAACAGCAAGCAAGTTGACAGTGGTCCAAATAGGGGTCCAGGTTTAGGTCCCAAGGGAGGAGGGGAGAGATGGATTCCTAACTTGAGGATATACCTTTGCTAGGCCTATGAGAAAACAACTACCATGTCATGTGAAAAGACAGAATGGTTGTTAATCATGGGATGAAGGCCAAGCTGGCTGCTAGATGGACCTTAACTGAGGAAAGGGCTAGCCCTTGAGGTCTTAACAAAAGCAGGTAGTCTAGAACAGTGGTTCCCAAACTGGGGTTTGTGAAAAGTTACAGGGGGTTCCCAGGAAAAAGTTCTCTAATGGCAGACAGCTGTCCCTAAGGAGCCCAGGCAGCACAGAGCCAGCAGCCCGGAGCCCCTGGACTTCCAAGAGCTAAGCAGATCAAAGCAAGCACATCTATCACACTGAGGAGATTTAAACTTCAAGACTCCTTATAAGAAATGGAAAGGGAGGTGAATATTTTTTGCTGTTTTTAAAATTAAATAGGCAGCTAGTATTGTTTTTAAAATTATTATAAAGAACAAGTTAAAGCTTTGTTGTAACGTGCATTGTTTGCCTGGACTGCTCAAGACCTGAATGCTCGTATAGGAGGAACTCTGAGTTGGCTGCTTAAATATCTTCATGATGTTTCACATCTGATACTCCTTGATGAAACATAGGAGCCTTGTCTTATAACAGGCTCATTCAAAGTGAT